TATGTATATATATATATAAATATATATATATATATATCTCTCTCTCTATCTCTCTATATATATATATATATATATATATATATATATATATATATATATATATATATATATATATATATATATATATATATATATATATATATATATATATATATTAGGGCTGCACGATATTGGAAAAGTCTAACATTGCGATATTTTTTTTTTTATTTTGCGATATGTATACAATTTCACCAGATGACTTAATATCTCTATTTGGAAAAAATGTATAATGTTAGACCGACTGCATCTCCAAAAAATCGAATAAACAATCTAATAAAATCGAAAAACAATAAAAGGTCCCCTGACAAACTTTCATTGTGGTCTGTGCTATTTGCAGTGCGTTTCTGTATTTGCATGTGTTGCGAGAATTTTAATTCATCACAACCTATAATCACAATCAAGATACAATTTAAATGAAGTGTTTTTTCGTTTCCCGAGGCTAACGGTGTTCAAGTACAGTAATTAGATAATAAAAACAAAAATAATTCAATAAAATTAATCATAGTAATGGCCACAAATTGTACAATTTCTTATACACAAATGCTTTTAAGGTCATTATACAATCACAGGCATCAAAAACACATGCAAAAGATAAATTATAACACAAACTCATCATTGCATATATCCTGCGATGTGACTATTGCGAACATCGATATCACATTGCGATATCGATGCTGAAACGTAATGTTACTGAATAATATGCTAATGTTTAGATAAATTTGCACAATGCAATTTGATTAATATTTTCAGTCTTTCAGTCGGTGTATTGCATGAGAGAACTGCTGTAGCTTTGTTTAGCAATCCAGTGGTTCCTTCTAATTGGATTTTGATAGTATTTTTAATGCGTTATTGTTTTTTTTTATATGTTAGGGTTTTAGATACCGCATCAAATAGATTTTTAGTTATTCAAACATAATAACTTGCATATTTACATTAAGCTGCAAAAAAGGGTTACTTTAACGGGTATAATAAAATTAAAATACTTTAAAATCAAACAAAATGGTGCTCAGGGGTAGCTTAATGTATCTGTGCTTTTTGGGCAAGGGATTTATCAGAACAAACAAGAAAGTCCAACGCACTCGAAAAATGTGGAAAAAATAGTAAAAAGCCTTTATTTACATGGCTAACACGATATCGATGTTATAAAATGCTATTTAAGTGCCTACGATATCGATATTGTAAAATGTTAATGAAGTACCTACTATATCAATATTGTAAAATATTAATGAAGTACTTATAATATCGATAATGTAAAATGCTATCAAAGTGCTTACGATATCGATGTTGTAAAATGTTATCGAAGTGCCGATATTGATATTGTAAAATGCTATTAAAGTGCCTACGATATCGATATTAAAAAATGTTATTGAAGTGCCTATAATATTGATATTGTATAATGGTATTGAAGTGCTTACGATATCGATATTGTAAAATGCTATCAAAGTGCCTACGATATCGATATTGTAAAATGTTATTGAAGTACCTACGATATCGATATTGTAAAATGCTATCAAAGTGCCTACGATATCGATATTAAAAAATGTTATTGAAGTGCCTATAATATTGATATTGTATAATGGTATTGAAGTGCTTACGATATCGATATTGTAAAATGTTATTGAAGTACCTACGATATCGATATTGTAAAATGCTATCAAAGTGCCTACGATATCGATATTGTATAATGGTATTGAAGTGCCTACGATATCGATATTGTAAAATGCTATCAAAGTGCCTACGATATCGATATTGTAAAATGTTATCGAAGTGCCTACGATATCGATATTGTATAATGTTATTAAAGTGCCTACGATATCGATATTGTATAATGTTATTGAAGTGCCTACGAAATCGATATTGTAAAATGCTATCAAAGTGCCTACGATATCGATATTGTAAAATGGTATTGAAGTGCCTACGATATCGATATTGTAAAATGCTATCAAAGTGCCTACGATATCGATTTTGTTAAAATGTTATCGAAGTGCCTATAATATTGATATTGTATAATGGTATTGAAGTGCCTACGATATCGATATTGTAAAATGTTATTAAAGTGCCTAATATATCAATATTGTAAAATGCTATCAACAACTAATATTACTGTAATTGCTAATAATCACGATATATTAAGTATTTGAACAGCGACCTATGTCTAGCAAAAACACTGGAGAAACTGCTAGAAATATCTAAATTTTCATAAAGTTCCTGATGTGTTTCTGTAATCAGCTGACGCAGTGTTTCAGGGACGCTCCTCAATAACACCCGATAATGTGAATCAGTGTTATGATAACATGTCGGGATGCTTTGGAAATGCTCAGGTGGATAAACATTGCAGTTTCTGGAGAGAACGAGGCATTGAGCATATCCAAAACATGTGTCTTACTTCAGAAATGCACGTAAAATTTACTTAAACCCCTTTAACTGTCCACTAGAGGGACGCTTCAGTTTACTTCACTATATTGTGATTAAATCCTGATCTAATCATGACAAACTGTATATCGGAAGGGTCTAAGATTAATGAACACATGTTTTACCACTGTTTGATGTTATGTAGTAAATATAATATATTAAAAGCCATTAACTCTCAGCCAACAACCTGTTTCCATTGTAAAACCATAATATTATAGTCTAAACATGGAGTAATCATAACAAACTACATATCATTTATAAGCTTAAAATGACTAGTTCGCATATCTGAGGACTGATTTTTAATAGATATTACTGAGCTACAGTTATATATTCATTTTAAAAATCGTAAAGCATTGCTTTGCTACAGCAATCTACATGTACATTTTTTAAAATGTTTTTTAGAGGTTAAATTCAAATTAAATACCACCAAACTGCACATACTACTATAGAATTTGATGTCTACTTCACATAATAGGATTAATATTCCTGTAAACATACACCGAAATAGAGGACGCCTTTATGTGGTCGTCAAATGAAACTGGAAGTCATGTCCTGGTGGTCATGTTTGGTACTGCAACCATATTTGAAAGCTACTTTTTTGGGATAATCAACTTTAAATTATATATATTTTATATATTAAATTATATATATATATTACTTTAAGTCGTTTTTAGGTCTGTGTGAAAACTGATTTCTGCTAAATTGTTGCAAACAATTTATATAGGCTAAATTCAAACAACAGATTAAATT